TAGCAAATCCTCCATCCTCTACATTGTTTATGTCAGGTATCTTACCACAGCAGGACAAATAAGTCACCATCGCATAAAGGGTTATCATAGTCGGTCATATTTTATAAACTCAATACAAAGTTATTAACAAAACCATAAGGATCTACTAATATTTGAAAATCCATTTAGACAAGAAATTTAGATAGTTTGATTAGAAATTAAAATATGTGACAAACAGAAAAGGGAGGCTTATGAACACCTTTGTGTGGGGCGACTGATAAATGTCAGAACTTCACAGTTGAATCAGGAGAGCATGGTGCTCTTCCCTGTGCTTCCTGGGAGTAGGCAAAAGAGCACTTTGGAGATTGTGTCTCATTTCAGGAGGTCATCTGTCTAGATATGATAACAAGGCTTTGTGTCACAGGCTCTGGTAGAAAGCACTCTTGAATTCTGCCCAGCCATTCGCTAGGTTGACTCTTCAGGAGTTTTGAATGTCCTTAGTGGGGACAGTGCTGGCCACTTTTGTGATATTGTGATTTTAAATAATTAAATAACCCCATAGACAAATAAAAATAAAATAGAATTGCATTTAGTCTAGAATGCAAAACAATAAAGAGAATAAGGAAATGAACATTTCTCATAAATGTATATAGAAACCAGTGAAGTGTAATTCCAGAAACTTAAGAAAAAAGGTAAATTTTAATGAGCAAATAAAATATTTTTAAATATTAAATGAAACTGGGAAATGTTTCTACTTCTTAAACATATTGAATTCTAACTAGAGTGGGAGATATTTAGAATTATTTTTAGTTAACAGGCTGCAATAATAATTTAATAGATGACTTGAGGTGTATTCATCGATTGTATTTGATATCACGGTGTCTGTATTATAGTTTATGTCCTTGTTAGAAGATCACAGGTATGCATTTCATGCATTGTAAACTGCCAATAGAGCACACCTTCATTTACATTTTCATCTTACTAAATATTGGAGTGAATATTCTCACCCTGATTGTCAGTATCACTTAGAATTCGTTGGAATTTATTCAACTAACATAGGCATTTAAAATTAGTTTTTTTTTCATACATGCTTTTTGTGATAAACAAAAGCAGTGAATGCTTTACAAATGAGAGTGAAGTTTGACACCTGGGTAAATATCAGCAGCCATCCCTTTTAAACACTTCAGGCAGTCTTGGAGCTACTCTGATGCTATGTGTGCAGCTCAGTTCACTGATTCAGTATCAGGTCCTTAGACGCCAGCTGCAGTGCTCAGTCATATTACCCAGAAACATGAGATATACAGAAATACTCAAAATCCTAAAATAAACTCTAGGATTTGAAATTTAAAAATGGTATAATACAAGGAAATACCAAAGCTGTAAACTTGATTGCATTTATTATAAGCATCATTATATTTTCATTAGAAGCTCTCTTCAGGGTGAGAACTTTTGCGTCAAAGTGGTTTATCCTTTTATCAGAACTGGCCATTGATTGTCTCATCCATTCTCAGCCATTACTGCCGTGAGGGGTTTGATCTGTGGGAGGTTGTGGTCTGCATCCGGGGTGTGTGAGATGTTAGAAGTCTGAGATGAAATGCAACAGGCCAGCCAAATGACAATGGAGCTTCCCGCCACTGCTTGACACACAGGTGTAGTGGGTGTATGTGATTCAGTAAATGGAATGTAACATTTGCTGGGTGATGCTTGAGGAAGTGAAGGCTCATGGTGTGAATTAAAGGTATAGAAATTAGAGGGAAAGCTCATTGACTGCTGGCTATGATACAAACTTCTTTTTGAACACTACAATAGATTGAAGTGGGGCTTTCTGCATGTGAGGTAACTCCTCACATTGAGGAACATCCTAGCTATTAATTAATATAATTATAGCAAAACCGAGGTCCTTGTGCATGCTAGGCAAGCACACTTCCACTTAGCCACTTCCGTCCTTGGCTTATGATGCAATTTTGAAAGTGCTAAAATGGCATCAAATTAGTGCTCTGGTAGAGACTTAGAATGTGGAGAATTAGGTAATTCCCTTAATTACTACAGAATCCTCCTCAAAAGTCATGATAGTTGGGCTGGCCACTGAAGAGTGAATACTACCCTACCACACTGTAGGAATGCAGCGTTATAATCATCTGTTGCCCCCAACAACAGTGCCTGCAGCAGCCTTCCTCTCTTGCAAACTCCTGCAGGTCCTCAACTGAGACACTGTCTGAGAGACTTCAGCTTCAGGATCTGTCATGTGGGGACCGAGTTTACATCGAATGGTCACAGATTCTGTTTCCTATCCAACCCCCTGCCTCCAGCACAGGAATCAGAGCCTGGCTGGAGACTTGTACTCTTATGTATACTGCCTCCCTCCAGAAAAACTGAGACCCTCACTTCTGCTGCTTGGATTCTGATTTCATTTCTCCAGAACTCCTGCTATGTTGTCTGTCTCTGGTGCTGGGGACTGAACTTTCCTCAGAGGTCCTTTCGTGCTGTTCCCAGCTGTCTGTCTGTCCACAGCATTAATAACTTCGCTAATAAATTCTTTGCTCACAACAATCCTTCTAAATGTCCCCTTGAACCCAAATCTGAGGCCTTTCAGTATTGAAAAAAGAACTAAAAGTCTTCAAAGAGTTTAGAGAAAGGTCTAGGTGTCCAGTAGCCACTGCTAGTAGAGGACTGTGTCCTCCCATAGCCCAGGCTAACTTGAAATACAGCTTATTCTGAGAGTTATTGGCTGCTCTGTGCAATTAAGGTCCTCAAAACAACCAAATGAAAACAAGATCCATTCATAAACGAAAACATTAGGCGAATCCAAAAAGGATACAACTTCTCTTTGTAAACTTCTTAAAAGCCATATTTTATAATTTTTGGAGCTACTCTGTACCTCATATGAGCAGCTCATTTTTCATATCTAAACATAGGTTGGAATTTTGGAAATAAGATCATGTAATTAATTTGTAAACACAACTGCCTTTTAAACTAGATTAAATCCCTAGTAAGTATGATGTTCTTCTAGGGCAAGCATATTAGACTTTTACAGATTTGTGGCATTTAAAAAATAAGTGTATTAGAATTGTGAGGCTTGTGCAATCAAATAACTTTAATTCATACTATCCCAGAGTTATTATGCAGTTAAAGTTATCTAGCTTCTGTTTCACTGTTGAAAACTTGAGCAGACTTTTGTGCACACAGGGAAGAAGAAAGTATATATCTGAAACAGCTGTGAAAAGTGCAAACGATGTACCAAAGGAGCAGTGTCTGGTTCAATAACAATACCAATCTCATTACTGAGGATACGCAGTGCAGAGAGCTGAGCCTCATCCACGTCTGTCTTATGTATGATGTGAGTTATTCTAATGCAGTCACAGTCCCTGAGCTCCATCTCCCAGAAGTGTGCCTGAGACAGTGTGGGGCCCAGTAGTTTACATCAACAAAGTAATTCCCCAGACAACACTGTGCTCACTTCCTCTACAGAAGAATGAGATTTGTTGCTATTCTCATAGCATTTATGATTCATTCCACTGCAATAATTTGAGAACCCATTTTCCTGTCTCTAGGGATCCCATTGCCAGGGGAAATAGGAAGAATGGGCCCCATACCCTGGAGCTGTACTTCACCATGTCTCATGTGGAGAGAAGAGGCAAGTTGGTATGTAGTTATATGTGCCTCAATAGTCAGTGTATTTCAAGAGGACAGGGCCATTTGCTGGCAAGATGCTAACCTTATATGACCTTTATCTCAAGAAAGTCTACCTCTGAATAATGGAGGGATAGATGGTGCCTAACAGTCTTTCATACTAAGGTTTAAGTTTTGGCAAGCTGAAAACAAGTACCTGAGATAACTAGCTAAAATACCCCTGAGTATTTTCATGAAATTGATGGACATGCTAATCTACCTGACCCAAGACATTCTTCAAAAGTAAGATTGAAAATATAAGTATATGCAAATGCCCTGGTAACTTTTGTATTTATTATAATGATTTAAATTTTCAGTATATGAGAAATGTATCAATTGTCATTGACTTATTCAACAATAAACTATTGAAATTATTTTATACTGGAAGGGTTTGCATGTATGCACTGTGCTTTTTTTAGTAAGTCTTTTTAGAAGTATTCATTTTCTAGTCTCCAATTGGGTTTATAAAATAGTATAGTGTAATTTCTTAGTCCTGTCATGCTATAGATAAAAACACACAAAGAAAACAAAACAGCCCTCATTTCCTTTTTGTTTCAACAATTTTTTGTATAATAGGTACTTAATTTTAAAATTTAGAAAAAAATAAATGTAGGGAAATATACATAAAGGTTGAAAATAGTTACTTTAGTTTTGTTTACACATATTAAGACCCTGACTGCCTCTCTCACTAGTATACCAAGTGTTGATGTGGTTCATAAAAGGGGAACTGTTCCACAGTCACCGTGGCATGGTCAGTTACACCTAGCAGCAGCTTTTTTATTAGTCCATGTGCAAATGAAAACAATTTGGATTATATATGACTGTAGGAAAGACTGTGCTTAGCCTTCATTTTCACTTGTTGAAACACAATTGGACAAAGAATTCTACCTGCATCTGAACTACTCTTGATGCGAGACAGATTTATCATCTCCCTCCGTCTGTTGTTGAGGACAGACAGCGACCTCAGCAGGCAGTGTCAGCACACTGACAAGAGTGAGAAGCCTAGCGTGGTTTGTATTTCAGGTATAAGCTTGTTCAGGAATTTGACTTTCCTTAACTATTCTCCAGAGAATTTAGGGAAACCCCCACATGCACACACAGAATTCTTTACAGCTGCAGCTTCATGGGCACTAACACAGATGTCCCAGCCTTCCTCTTCCTCAGGGAATGAATTCAAATCATGCTTAGAAAAACAATAGGTGATGTGAATGAAAATGAAATGCCCGAAGTGTTTGTTTATGGACTACTATGAGAATTGAAAATGTATGAGCTAGCAATCTTTATACCCACATTTCCCAAACGACTAAGGGCGAACTGATAAAAGAAATGGGTTATTAAATATGGAAGCCTGTTTATGTGAACTGGAATGTGTCCTGGGGCAAGCTTTAGAAACACAGCACTAGTTAAATTGCAGTTGAACAGGATTCTTCTATAAAGCAGTCATTATTTTCTGTTGTCCCTTAACAGCGTACAGTTATTTCATGTGCAGGGGTAAAAGATTCCTGGTACCACAGCAGCCCCTGTGATGGAATGAAGGCTAACACAGTGAGGACGGTTGACAACAGCATTGTTTAATATATAAGACTCTAAGAGAGGGATTATAGAAACACATTTAATATAGAATAGTGAACTTTAGTGTACTTACTGTGAAAATAGCACATTTATTTAGAGAGGGAGTTTATGTCCAAAGTTCTTATTGATGTTTTGAAATACATCCATTTCTGTCTCTTGCTGTAATTGTTACCAAGAAAAGGAAAAGTACCAACCATTTTCCTTGACTCCTTATCAGAAGTCTTCTGTTTTTGATTGATATTTCTCAGAGTCATCTAGAATGTCACATTAGTAAAATATTCTAGAAAAACATGAGAGTTTTTGTATTGTGAAGTCTACATTTGCCTGCATTCGTGTCTTGTGCACATGGCTTGCCGCTCGATTCTCCAGGTCCCCTCCTCGTAGGTGCAGTGGCATATGGTGCATTCGTCGGTCTTCACCTCTCTGCCAGCTGGGATGACAGCAGTTTCTGCAAAGCAGTTTGGGCCTGAAATGCAGAAAAATGTTTCACACTATTGAGTGAATAAATGTGTAATGTGTAAGTTAGGTAGTTAGCACTGAAGAGTGTTTCATTTATCCTCTTATGAAGGACAGTTAGAAAAGCCAGAACTAGAAACACAAAGAACACTTTTTTTTTTCTGAAGTGAAACCAAAGTTACTTAAAATTTTAGGACAAGACATTATTATTTTCATAGGTAGACTACTCCATTTGGTGGGGGCCTTTTCAGAAGTCACATCTATAATCATTAGATTTAACTAATGCTGTGAAATAATTACCTAAGAAGCTTCAGAAAACCAGGCTCACTTTTCATGGCAGTTGTAGGAGAGAGAAACAAGAAAACAGTCATCCCACAACTTTCCCACATGTATTAAAACATCAGGTGTGTCACAATGACCAGGATTTCTGTTCCATTGCTGGCTGCAAGCCCCAACAACAGAGTTCTTTAAGTTATGGGGCCAAAGAAGTAAGTCCCTAGGTGATGATAATGCATATCTGGACACTACAGTTAGAGCAACACCCCCAGGTACTGTACAGGGATATATCTTCCACAGTCGTTAAGAACCAAGAATGACTGCAATTCTCGCTTGTAAAACCAAGTAAAAGCTTAGCACAAAGGTGTACCCTCTGTGCTTAAGTTTAGGTCTGAATTCAAGGGTATGAAAAATGAGCAGGAAAAATATTTCCAGTACGTGTTGAAACCAATGCTCTTATAAAAGATTACTTAATTGAGCCTCAGAGAAAAGGCTTTTAGGTCAGATCTATTCATCAATGGGCACTTACCTTCCACCACTTGGAGACAACTAAGGGCAATAGCAAACCAGAAGGTGCCATACATTTTTCCAAAGAAGGGAAGCAACCAACTGTCCTTCCCAGCTTGAAACACGTGATCCACAACAATGACTAACATGTACCCTAAGGGAACAACAGTGGCAGACATACTTTGATGGTAACCCACAGCTCTCTAATAGTACTTAAGGCCCACTCAACAAGAGGGAAATCATGCCTAGTACTGGAAACCTAGGGCTAGTGAAGCCGTGGACCTTGGAAGAGAACTTACAATGGCTGCTTTACTAAACCAGAATGATCCTTTACTGCATTCTAAATATTTGTCCTTATGCCCACAGATAAATGTAGTCTTTATCTCCCATCAAGGAGACTTCTCTTTGCAATAGATGGAGATCATTACAGAAAAGCACAGTCAATCAAGATACAGAATTGTGGAACATATTACCAACTGCTAAATTTATGATACAACTTCTGCACCTATGGTTCAGAGGTCATTTACAGAAGAGGGGACAGAGTGCTTGTAAAAGTCAGAGGACCAGGGAGTTTGCTGTGATACTATGCCTTTTATGAACGTCAGAAGCTGCATTCATGAAGCCTCACTAGTATGGCTGCCTAACCATGACATGTACACAGATGATACCAATAGACACACAAGGGGAAGTGCTTAGGAGGCCTCAACTCTAGACAAAGAACAACAAGCAGCTAAGAAATAATGAGAGCAAAAGTGAAATCATCGCCCCAGGGAAGAGCATGCCATTAAGTGACAAAGGATCAACCCTGAAAACATAGACACATAAAGGTAACATTATACATGAATCAGCAGATTGCATTTATATATCTAGGAACACACATGTAACAACAGTTTTTTAGAGGCCATGAATTTGAAAGACTAAAGGGGCAGTACGAGTTTGAAGGAAGCTTCAGCAATTACCCCCTTGGGATGATGGTATAGAGGAGATCTGGCTGGACTGCGGGTGGGTAGGCATGAGTAGTTGAGGGTTTGGGTTGTGGAGTGGGTGGAGGGAGAAAGCGCTGAGAGAGATGACTGGAAAGGTAGGTTTTACAGAGGGGTAGAATCCTGATACAAGGGAAACTCCCATGAGTCTACAGGATGGCCCCAGCTAAGACTCTTGGCAGCAGCTGATGCATAGCCTGAACTGGACATCTCTGGTGTTTGGATTGGTGACTACCCGACTTGACATCGGAGAGCCCTCATCCAGTGAATGATGGAGGCAGATTCAGAGACCCAAAGTCAGACATTGGGTTGAGTTTGGGCAGTCCTGCTGAGGAGAGGAAGGGGGGATTGTATGAGTCAGGGGATTCGGGGAAATAGATAGAAAACCCACAGTAATGGCTAGACTGGCTCATAGGAACTCAGAGTATGAACCAACAACCAAGTAACCAGCGTGGGACCAATTTAGGCCCTTAGCATATATGTGACAGTCGTCTAGCTTGGGTTCTTTGTGGAACCCCTGTTAATGGGAACAGAGTTGTCTATATTCTGCATACTGGATTGCCTTGGCCAGTCTGAATACAATGGAAGGTGTCTGGTTTTATGACAGCTTGATATGCCCCTTTCTGAGTGAATATGGAGGAGGGGTAGAGAAGTGGGAGGAGAGGAGGGAGGGGGAGATTACAATCTGGATGTAAAATAAATAAATTAATTGAATAAAAAGTTGTAGATTCGGTTTTATTTTCTCTTTGTTTTTTTTTAGCTAATTAATTTTTCCCAGCCCAATCACATTTCCCCTCCCTTGTCTCCCCCAGTCCTTACCTCTAACCCACCCCTAATCCACTCCTTCTTTCTTTTCAGAAAGGGCAGCCTCCCATGTATACCAGCCAGCCATGACAGATCAAATTGCAGTAAGACTAGGCATCTTCTCTCCTATTCAGGCTGGACTAGGCAACCCAGTAGGAGGAAAGGGTCCTAAAAGCAGGCAATAGAGTCAGGAACAGCTCCTGCTCCCACTGTTAGGAGTCCCACAAAGGACCAAGCTATGCAACTGTAATATTTGTTCAGAGGGCCTAGGCCAGTCCCATGTACCTCAATCAGTTGGTGATTCAGTCTCTGTGAGCCCCCATGAGCCCAAGTTAATTGATTCTGTTGGCTTTCTTATGGCATCCTTGACCCCTCTGGCTCCCATAATCCTTCCTTCCCATTTTCCTATAGGATTCCCTGAGGTCTGCCTAATGTTTGACCCTGTGTCTCTACATCTGTTTCTGGGTGAAGCCTCTCTGATGACAATTTGGGTAGGCAACGATGTATGAGTATAGCAGAATATCATTAGGAATCTTTCTTTTTCATTTTTCTTTTTGTCAGTCATGTTTGGTTCTGTCCTAGGTCTCTGAGCTGTCCAGCCTCTGGTTCTCAGGTTCCCTCTGATAGTATGGGTCTCAAACTGGATCAGTCATTGGCTCACCACTCCCGTAATTTCTGTGCCACCTTTGTCCTCACATATCTTGTAGGAAGGGCACATTGTAGGCCAAAGGTTATGTGGTTGGGTTCAGGTTCCAGTCCCTTCACTGGAAGTCTTGCCTGGTTACAGGAGATGGCTAGTTCAGGCTCTGTCTCTCCCATTCCTAGGAGTCTTAGCTTATAGATCCTGAGAGTTTCCATTGAGCTCCGGTCTTGTCCTCCTGACAGCAAATAGTCATGGCTCAGATTGACATCTACTGACTTTCTGTTAAGAATATGCATGTAGCTGGGCGGTGGTGGCACACGCCTTTAATCCCAGCACTCGGGAGGCAGAGGCAGGCGGATCTCTGTGAGTTTGAGGCCAGCCTGGTCTACAAGAGCTAGTTTCAGGACAGGAACCAAAAGCTATGGAGAAACCCTGTCTCGAAAAATCAAAAAAAAAAAAAGAATATGCATGTATCATCTTGCCCTAAACTTATTTTAAATCTAAGACTTTTCTGCATCCAGTAGCGTTGCTCAAATGACCTAGCCCTCTCTATATATAGCCTGACCGTGCCTCTTCTCCACTATCAGATGAAACCCCAGTGTGGGATAGGGCTATGTGTGGACCTACCTCAGAAAACTGCCCCCCACCATCACAGTGCACCCCCCATGCTAGGTATACCATGAAGTTACTAATTTTTTCTTTCTGTTTATTACCTTTACAGAATAATCTGCTTTTTGTTCATCCTAATATCATACTACAATTGCTCAGAGTGCCTGTATCCTGAGAGAGTTACTCGGAGGACTCATCTTCAAAGTAATATGAGATTGCTGGCTAACACGTGGTCATAGACTAAATAACCTCTTCATGCCATGGTGGCCTCATCCACCAAAGGGGATAATAATATGCTATGGAGTCTTGTTATGTGCTGTACACTCCTCTTAGTTATTCTGAAAATGTCCTTGCCTGAATTGCTTTTTCTGCACAGCATTACTAGTCCTTCTTAGGCTCTTATGATTAATAGTTTACCTTCTTATATTTATGTCACTCAGAGGTTTTAGATTTTTATTTGTTAATGTTTTTCTCAATTCAGTGAAATTGTATTCTTTGTAATGGTCAAAATTTGGCTGGTGATATCAAGAACCTCAAGCTGCTTTTAAAAAGTCATTTCTCATTTATCTTCCTATTGTACAACTTTTTAAAAAAGAGTAAGGAAATTATTTCTTTGTTTTCTTTCACAAAAAGTATGGTTTTCTTTTAATTTTACTTAAAGTCTTATCTGAGCTGTTGAGCCCATATCAGAACATGGGAACTGTCTTGTTCTTCCTGGTCCCAGTGGGGGCATTCCTCACTGTGTGTTCAACACCTACTCTGCTAATGGACACTTTGAAATTGGTCCCCAGAAAATATGCAGTGCGTCTGCACTTGGGGTATGTTGTAATCTTATGATTCAAGTGAAGAAAAAAGCATTTAAATATTGGGAACTTATTAGTGAAAATAATATTCCTGGAAAAAAAGAAAAAGCTAACTATAGTACCAACAGTTTATGAAAATAATTAAGAATATGCAATCCTAAAAGAAGGAAGCACCATTTATATTATTTCATGTAGGAAAGTTTTTCTTTTATACAATTGTAACTAGAATATTACATCATTTGTCTCCCTTTCATTGCTAAATTAATTGCTAAGAAAAGTACTGGCTCAGGGCTTCCTGGAGGCTCAACTTCTGGGTGCAGAATCGACAGGCTTTTAGAGTGCCAGACGTCCATCTCTCATGGCTGCAATAACAAGTAATTCTTCT